GCATTGGGGGAGTCACTGTTCCCCCGAGCACAGCCAGGAGTGACCAGGAACAATGGTCACAAGCTAGCAGAGGGTAGGTTTAGGTTAGACATCAGAAGGCGCTATTTCACGGTCAGGATGGCTAGGGTCTGGAACCAGCTTCCAGGGGAGGTGGTGCAGGCTCCTACCCTGGGCGTTTGAAGAAGAGGTTAGATGAACACCTTGCTGGGGTCGTTTGACCCCAGTACTCTTTCCTGCCATGGCAGGGGGGTCGGACTAGATGATCTTCTCCGGTCCTTTCTGACCCTAGAAACTATGAAACCCAAAAACAGTTTCTCCTTAGGTTCAATCTCAACTTCGACCAGAACAACCTACTCCAAGCCTGGAAGAGTAACATAGTCTACGATGCATTCTGTTAGACTCATGTCCAGCAGCTGCTGCTTGCACCCTCTTTCTTCCTAGCCTGAGTGGTTTAATGATTTAGGATCCCTCTTTTATCCCAGGACTTGCGAAGAGAGACTCCCTCTTTGTTATGCACCATCAGGACCTTGTTATTGTTTCAATTCCTCTGAACACTTCCTTTGACTCTGAAGTCAGACAGTATATCCTGAAACCAGCTAAAATAAAGCTAGTTCTGTCCTTCATCTGCTCTCATCCCTCACTGAGAAAAACAGATAAAAACTTTTCCTCATTTATCCCAAAAAGGAGAAAGGAAAGAATAAACACTTCTTTGTAATTACTTTCCCAGGTCCCCTTTCCCCCCCACCCCACTTACATGAACTGTCTCCTATCCTCTTTATGACAGTTTAGTCACACTGCTAGAGGAAAAGCAAGCAACAGCAGATGCAGGAAAGAAAGCTGCCTGAGGGTCACCTCACCACTTTGTTCAGGTCACAGCCACCATTGGTTATCAGGAATCAGCATCTAGACAAGAAACCCAAGCAGAAAATGTTAAAAAAAAAAAAGAAAAACCCTAGCTGTCCAGTTTCTCCTACATAAGTCTCCAAATTGTAGCTTGCAATTGCAGTTGAACTGAACTGGTTTGAGCTGAACATTTACTCTAAGTTTTAAAAAATTCCTTGTTCCTCCTTAGTGAAAGAGGTAATCTCAAGCTACATGGGAAGGAAGCTATACTCCATTCTTTGGGTCAGCTCAGTATTTGATTAGAATGCAACTTTTTAAAAAAGCAGCAACAAACAAAGTTTGTAGTTCACAACCTATATGACAAAGAATCACAAAAAGCATTCAGTATTAGATCAACTTTATTACGTTATCAAAGTATGACAATAAAATATGCAAAATCTATTTAACTCATTCATACACCAAGAGGCATATAAAATGCTGGGTATCACCAGATTATGATCCATACAAAATACTGTTAAGTGTAGAGCAGCAAAGTAATTGCCAAGCATTCCCTGAATTCAAACAGGCCTTGAACACACAGTGCTTCAAGAACTGTCTTAACACCAAACTTCCTCCCTTTGGCCTGCAATTCCTTTGCAATTATTGCTTGATATTGAAATCTTCTGTTCCTAACAGAATCACATAGTGACCCTGAACCCTTGCAGAAGTATTACAATAGCTGAAGTCCCTCCAGCAATTTCTCTCTTTATATTTTTCAAAAATAAGTAATATATTTGGTCCTCAAAATTATTTTTGGTTTCTAAATGCATCCTAAAAACTAGGCAAAAAGGGACATGTTGACAAGTTGTAAGTAAATTGATATAAAATGGAAGGAATTTGAGCAAAATGATACACTTCAAATGCAGGGTGTGGCAAAGTACCCAAGGTACTCCTCTTCTCTTCTAGTGTCATATGAACCCCTTCCCAGCAATAGTTAACATTTCCTCTGACCTTCTCTGCAAGAACCTACACTGGTTGTATAAGTTTAGGCTATTACGGTGATACTGAAATACTTAGTTTTGCCCTGTAATGCAGAGAGATAAATGATAATGAAAATTTCCTTCTGTGCACATCATTCAACTTGCTCTACATTTTGAAGCATGTACACCAGGTATTTTAAAGTTTAGACTGATGACATCTCTCTCTCAATATGCAGGATGGGCGGAAAAGAAGAGTCTTAAAAAGGTTTGATGGAAAAGAAGTTGTTTCATCTTATATCCTCCAACTCCAATCAGTTAATTAGCAGGCCTGTACATATCTTAGCATGTTAATGATGAGAACTCAATTAAATCTAAGCAGAGCAACACTGCTCAGGAAAGCCCAGATTCAAACTGACATATTACAAGTCTGCTAGGTGTGGGGAGTTGTCAATTCCACCTTACAATGAGTTAAAAAGCAGCTAAGCAGACTTAGTTAGAAAAGGAGGCAACTCTAAAAGGCCCATCAGCTAATGGAAAACTAAGAGTAAGCGTGGACTAAGTTACTTGCATTAAGAGCAAGGTGTAAGTAGGGGTCTACCCAACTCAAGAAGGCAGATCACAGGGCTAACTGTCATTTTCATTAGCTTATCCTGGTGTCCCCCCACATCTGATTGGTCATGGGGCCCCAGTGACCCCACCCTCCACTGCTGATTGGTGGAGAGGGCTATCCATTGTGTAGCCTCATCCCTTGTCAAATCAGCAGCAAGGAGCAGGGGCCCATCTTGCCTTTGTGCTGGCAGCCCCTTTCAGGCTGAGCTGCATGGACTGGAGGACTCTCCAAAAAAACTAGCTAAGTTTTTGCCAGAAGCCTGCCCTGCACCCCAGATTGCCTGATTTCACAATTTCTGCAAAATCCATGCAATCATGATTTGAATAGTTCCCTAGGTATAAAGATATTATTGACTAAAAAAACAAAACAAACAAACAAACAAAACACAGGATTGATTTTTATCCCCAAAAGGAAAAAAAGTGCGTTGGAGTGACCAAATTCTAACAAAAATAATCCAGGCAGCTCTTTTGGAGCCATCCATTTCTTTTCAAGTCTAAAAAGGACCAAAGCTAAACTCTTCCTATAAAATTGTTAGAACTCCATAAAACTAAAAACGCATGAGTAGCCAAACAGATCCATAGAAAAGGAAACATCCTTCAGATCAGGTAAAGTTGTTAATCTAGATTCTTTCCACATTCCTCTGATATCCCTATTGGGTGCACCCAGACAATTACAGGTATTTATTGCAGACCAATCATATATTAATTCAGAATGGAGTCGATCACAGGAACAGCCTTTAAATAGAACTGTGGTACTTGGCACATGTATCTGGGAAAACCTACACTACAGAGCCCTACACCAAATACAGGCTTCAGTTATAAGGACTTCTGTGCCATATGATTTAAATAAAGTAAGCCACCAGTTACAAATAGCTGGGAGCAACTCAAATCTGCACTAGCATAAAGGAGACTGAAGCAGAAAAGTTTGTGCCATCGAATTGTTGAGCTCTAGCTCCCAGATTGATGATTAAGACAACAGACATTAAGTTCTGTTGGGAATACTTGTCCTACTTCAGTTATAAAAAATCTGGACGGTACAAAAGGAAGAGTAAGACCACATTAAAAAAAAGTCAGTGAATCCAGAAAGATTTTAAAACCTACCCATGACCTCAGTTAAGAAATTGAAAAGCGATTAACTAATCCAGCACATCTACCTACCTCATGCTTAACTTTCCGCAGTAGTAAGCACTTGAAACTGCTGTCATTTAAAAATATCTTACTTGCATCTCTCAATGGCAGCAACCTCCATCCATGCCTGACTGAAAATAATTAAAGTTTACCCTTTAAACTATTGGGCTCTCCTAAAATTATGAAGCAAAGTTGTTTGGTTTTTCCTGACGAATTTCAGTCAAGAACTCTGAAGGTATCTTTTCCTGAAGAGCCAGGTACTGAAAGCACTCAACAGAATTCTTATCAAAAGCAAAGAAATGTGATCAAACTGGTGACTTGTTCTAATGCTTGTGCAGAAGAATCTCAGTACCACTTCCCAATCAAGTCTGTGAACCTTACACAATAGGCTATTTAAAGTCTCTGTAACTGGGGAAGTACAAATGTGAAATTTTCACACTATAAAACTAATTTCTCAACCCTAATTAGGACCAACTTAGTGCCACTACAGGAAGTATATCTACACTAAACTTCTTGCCACCAAAATATGATTTTGATCCATATTAAAAGATTGTCAATGAACTGGAATCTGGATCTAAACAAAAGTATTTGGTTGGAAGCAAGTTACATACTTTAAACTAGAGTGCAATACAGTGTATCCCAGCTCTAGGAAATTTAGAGTTTTGCTTTGTTTTAAATAGTTGCCTGTTTATCCCCCACCTTTTGGCAAACAGTGGTAATTTTTCACGTTGACAAATTCTACATTTTCTGCATTTGCCAGTATTCATTGTTTGTGGATGTTGATGTTTGCTCCACATGTGAATGGCTATAGGGTTCCTTAAGTTTTAGGTTTTTCTTAGTGCTAACAAAGAAAAAATGTAAAAAGATTGCTAGCAGTCCTGGGGATCTAGATGCCAAGTCATCAAGGTCTCAGAGTAAAGGACAACTAGGTCTCTCCTGACTTTTGCAGATATGCCCAATAAGGAATCATAAGCATTAACACATCTCTTTTCCAGGAACAATATGAATGTTACAGAGAGGCTAGATGTAATGCGCACACACAAAAAAAAGCAAAGAAAAAAAAAAAGCAATATTTAACTCTAAGTCTGTTACACCTGCTGCTAGATCACATTTGCAAGCTGAACTATTAAGATATCAGATCTTGGAGGAACATTGCTGCCCTCCCAATTCTTGACATCTTTCTTTTTACTGCACAACTGACACTGAACAGTAAGCAATATTTCTCCTCCCAACAAAGATCACACATAGGAAATGGCATAGGCTGTACATTCTGCACAAAAGGGTTTCACATTCAAATGAACTTCTGTATGAACACTGGACACTTCCACTAGAGGTATCAAATCAAATGCACATGACAGACTTCCAACTGTGAAACACCATGATGCATTTTGAACACTCATTCAAGAGACAAGTGAGCATTAAGGACACCAAAACAGCTTTCTGAAAATGGCTTGGGGGGGAGGGGAGAAATGTCCCAAAAAACAACAAATAAATAACCCAACTGCCTAAAAACCAGGGGATCAAAAGGCATTTCCCCTTATTTAAGGGAAAGCATCATGGGAAAGAGAGCCAACATAAGGTGTCACAAACCAAAAAGCAGCTTTTTCACATAAGAAATGGTTGTAACGTTTGACAGCATCTCAATATGCTCATTTCCAGACAGCTCAAACAACAGCACCTCCTCCTCTTGCATGCCCACCCACTTTTGACACTGTATGGCACTCTGCAAGTTCACTGTACCATCCCCATCACTGTACACAATCTTGGGCTCTTTGTCAGGAAACATATCATAATAGAATGAGTCAGGGGTTTCTACACCAGTGCCATAAAGACAGTGGATGCGCACACCAGGTGGTATCATCTGGTAGACCAAGGGCTCAGTGTCTTGTCTCATAAGCCAGCCATCTTCAAAGTTGATGTCCTTATAGAATTTTTGATAATCCTGGATAGTGTAGTTAGCAGTGGGTGTGCTTACAAAGATCTTGTCTGGAGGCCATGTGTAGTTGTAAGGGAGCATCCAATTGGTTGAAACTGCAGATCTTTGCTGGTCTCTGATCTTAAGTGGACTGATGACAGGTATCCTGTTGTTGTCACCTGTAAAAAAGGTAAATTTTATTTTGTTACAGATTATGTTTTATCTGTGTTACTGAGCATCAGTTATTACCACTCAGACATATGGAATGCTTTCGTTGCTCAAGATAACAAACTTTGATGAAGATGCATCATTAGTGAGAAACGGCTTTTTAATGTTTTAAGAAACAAATGGCAAATTCCAATAACCACTGACACTTAAAAAAAAGGAACAAGTTGGACAAATGACAGATGGAACGTCTCAGTCAGATATTTTGTTTTAAGACCACCCCTCTGATATTCTTTTTTAAAAGGGCCCCGTCTCCTACTTCACAAAATTTTAAAGTTAAATGTTGGGGCTAATGTTTGCAAGACAGCATTAATTAGGCACTCTCCTAACCAACTGCAAACAGCTTGAAATGCCATCTTGAAAAATCTTATGTGTATTTGCAGTGACTCACAGGGACATACCCTCTCTCAATCTTTGAGGCAGGAGTAAGATAACATCAGCCTCCTTGTTTGTGTATGTAGAATATATGAGCTAAGTTACAGAATTAATAATTCTTGGCCTTCCTAGTTCAATAAGGTATTTTACAATTTCCACTAAAAACCATTTGAGGCAGCACTTTGCTTGGAAAAACAGAACAGATTACAATATGGTTTTTGCATCATTTAGGGTGAAGTAAGATGTAGCATCATTACTTATTTTCCTGCCTGTGTAAGAATAGTTATTGGGAGAAATCCTACAAACAGCTCTCACAAAAAATCTGAAACCTGATAGAGTAGTAAGAAAAGCCCACTTATGATAGCGGTATGTGGTATTTTCCATGTATATTGCACAAAAAAAAAATATTGCTCAAACACACACTCTCAAGACCCAGATAGATAAAATTAGATCTTGTCAGCCAAGTCTGATAATATCTCCAGTACAATATTAAATCATCATATTGATGATGAACAATAATGAAGGGCAACTATTAGCCTTCCCTACCACTAGCTATGTCTGTGGGAAAAATTTTGCCTAAAGCAAGGGTACAGGCTTGTATGCACCTCAGTGAGCTGGCTGTGAGATCTAGAAAGGAAGGAGCCCTGGATTCCAGCTGGGGCCTTTGTTCCTAGTGAAAGAGATGCATCCCCTGCACTTCACTTTTTCCAAGGACAATGTTAGCAACTTCAGAAGGAGCACCAAAGAAAGAACTGGATAATGGCAAGCCTGTGGCATGGTGTGTTAGTGCTGAACTAGAAAATGAAGAGAGACCATGGTTCAAAGTCCTTTTGGGGGAGGGATGCCTAGAATTCAGAACCTCCAGCATCCCAATGTGTGCTAATTATGAAGTCATGAGGGCAAGAGGGGCCCCCCTCCCTTTTCTGTTCCTGAGAGGCAAGTGTACTATGCACATCCACTCTGCATGACTACATGGCCATGAAGAATCATCCACTTGTACAGGGGTATGTGCCCACGTAAAGAATACCAACTTGTACCCAAGTGCCATTTTGGCAGACAGACCATCAAAAAATGCCATGTAGACAACCAGATCTGAACTACTAGGTGATCAGAAAGTAGGGAACAAAATATCATCCCAATAGACTGAAAAAAGTTTATCCAGTTCAAGATGCAGCCATAGCAATATTTAATTAATCTAGAACTAGCTGCATTTTTAATCCAGGAGGTGGCACTGTTAAAACAGGCACAGAGCCATAGCACACCATCTCCAATGCCATTCTTCAAAATGTTAGCATTTCCATGCAACTGCAGCTAGCGGTCATACTGCCCAAAGCTGATTAACAAAGGAAGCTTGAAGAGGGAATGAAAAAAAAAAACAGTAAGCACCAAGTCGTAAAGGCAGAAGAGGGGGCAGGTTGGCACCTGAAACTATGGTTCAAGAGAGGCCTCTACCAGCTACCATTTGACAAAACAGACCATCACCTATGAGAGCCTTTGCATCTCTGAACCAGTTCACCTCTAAAAAAAAAAATGTCACCACCCTGCCCTACCAGATGCCTTGCTTCAAACTAGCACATCTGACTATCTATTTATGAGAGTCCTGAAGATAACCTCAGAGCCCTATCCAGGCATTTTGGCACTCAGTGCAGGTCATGTGCATATAACATTACTTCCATTTGATCTGGCATCCTCTGTGTGAGAGTGCCCAATAAGTGCACCACTGGCACTGCTCTTGCTATGGTATTGGATATTTTTATTGCTTTCCGGGGGGGGGGGGGGGGGTTCATGTTTGACCCTAAAAATCAAAGCAGTTCCTTGTTCTACTGTTTTAAAAGGTAGCACCTGCAGTTGAGCTTTTTCCTTCTTTTAACTTATGGTCTAATATAAATGTCTAACCCTGCTTACCTCATATTAAGCACTAACCACAAGATGCTGAAACAAACCTGAGCTGCAGAATCCAACTGTGAAAGGCTGTGTATGGAATTGTTAAAGATACTGGGATCCATATTCTGTGAAATGTCATTAGTTTTCTCACTCTAGGAAGAGCTTGTAGTACCAACTATTATTAACATTGTCCGAAGTTGTCTTCGGCAAACTTAAACCACATTCAACACAGACTGAGAGGTCTCTCTGTGAGAAATATTCAACAAAAAAAGTTGACCATTTGGGTAAAAAAAGTAGGGAGAAAGAAAAAAAAAAAGCAGGCTTCTTTGATGTTAAAGTGATTGCAATCTTTTCTTTAAGCAACTATTAAACTCTTGTGTTTTGGAAAAGAGAACCTGAAATTTGGTAGGGGGCTGCTTTTGTGCATCAAGGCTCTATTACCCACCCCACCCCACAAGAAAATCCTCCCAAATTTGCCTACCTCAAACTTCAAAAGAAAGAAAAAAAAAAACCCAAACTTATTTTCACATGGTCAGGAGAGAAGACTTTGGTATTAACCAGTTAAGTTCTCCAGATTTTCTCATCTAAGTTAATCACACTCCAGCTTGGGCTAAGCAGTTTTCCTGACAATTGCAGCACTGCTGCCATAGTTCTAGATACCTGAACAGAACACCAGGAGCCTGTCCTTCCTGTGCTGTTAGTAACTAGCTGGTGCTCTTGTCATTAGACTAAGCCATCATGGAAATGGCCTGATTCAAAATGAAGAAACAACCTCCCATGAGCTAGAGGGATTTCATAGATATCATAGACATTAGGGATGAAAGGGACCTCGGAAGATCTTAGAGTCCAGCCCCCTGCCCCAGGGGCAGGAAGTCAGCAGGGGCCATAGGATCCCAGCAAGATAAACATCCAAATGTTTCTTGAAGGCATTCAAAGTAGGTGCTTGAACCACCTTCGGCAGCAGTCTATTCCAGACCTTGGGGACTCAGATAGTAAAGTTCTTCCTTATGTCCAGCCTGAAACGGTCTTGGAGGAGTTTGTGACCATTTGATCTTCTCATCCCTTGGGGCACTCTGGTGAACAGATGTTCCCCCAGATCCTGGTGAGCACCCCTTATAAAAAAAAAAAACAAAAAACCTATAGGCAACCACCAGATCACTTCTGAGCCTTCACTTTTCCAGGCTGAAGAGTTCCATAGCTCTCAACCTCTCATCACAAGGTCTGTTTTCCTGACCTCTGATCATGTGCATGGCTCTCCTCCGCACTCTCAAGCTTCTCCACATTCTTTTTGAGTTGTGGAGCCCAAAACTGGATGCAGTACTTCAGCCGTGGCCTCACCAAGGCCAAATACAATGGGAGAATGACGGCCTGGGATTTGCTTGAGAAGCATCTATGGATGCAAGCCAGCGTTTTGCTCATTTTACTAGCTGCAGCATCACATAGGTGGCTCACGTTCATCTTGTGGTCAATCGTGACCCCCAAGTCCATTTACTCTGTAATACTAGCCAGCATAGCAGTGCCGAGCCTATAAACATGTTGAAAGTTTCTTCCCAAGGTGGAGAACCTCGCATTTCAGTGTTGAACACCATCAGGTTTTCATCTGCCCATTTCCTGAGCCTGTTGAGGTCTACCTGGATTGCCCTCCTGTCCTCAGGTGTGGACGCTTTACCCCAAAGTTTAGTGTCTTCAGCGAACTTGGCCAGTCCGCTTCCGACACCAATGTCCACATCACTGATGAAGATGTTGAATAGTATAGGCCCAAGGACAGAGCCTTGAGGGACCCCACTGGTCACAGGACATGACAATTGATTTCCATCAACTACCACCCTCTGGGTCCGACCACACAGCCAATTCCCCAGCCAGTGGATCACGGTGAAGCCGAGGCTGCAGTTGGCCAGTTTTGTTAAGAGGTGACCATGGGATACCAGATTGAAGGCTTTTTTAAAGTCAAGATACACGACATCAATCTCTTCTCCCTTGTCCTGGTTCGCTCCCTGCAGGTCTGAGGATGGAGAGGTAGGTGTAAAGAGGTAATGGGCAAAGGGGAAGAGATTGGCACTGTCTAGCAAGGAAAGACCAAAAGTCAGTGAAGAAGAAAGAGCCCAAATATGGAGCTAAGACTTAAAGGCTGCATTATTTTAGTTGTTGTTGAGATGGATCTGAGGAACTGTAGTGTCAGAAGAGAACAACTGTCCACCCAAGAGGCTGTAACAGGGAGCTTGGGTAGAGGAAAGACATTACACAAATTATTTAAGGTAGTATATTGGAACTAGAAAAACTAGCCAGGAGGTGGGTGAGAGATTACAACTAAAGGCAAGAATGGGGAAAGGAGGAGAATTGGGCTGCAGTGGAACTGGGAAAGAAGAAAAAGCAGATGGGGAACACCTGGAAAAGGAAATGCTACACACTGACCCTAGGACTGGCTGGACACAACCTGGAGCAGAGATAAGCAGCATGATGGGTGAACAACAGGGCTTGAGCAGACAAGGAAAAGTTTGCATCTGTAGTGAAGGAGTCTGGAACATCATACCAGACCTCACCTCCTATGAAAGCTGGAAGGCAAAAAGTGAATGGAACAACAGATGCAAAAAAAGAACAAAGTAACTCCAGCCCTTAGCAACTAAATTTTAATTTCACCTCTGCAAGAAGAGTTGCTGTGTAATGCTACTGAAATAACTTAAGCCACACATGGTCACAAGTTTTGTTCCTCATTTTATGGCTGCCTTATCTTGGAACCTCAAATCAACCAACCAACCAACCTACCTACCTACCTACCCACCCACCCTCTCTCTCTACAGAAATACATGTGTAGAACAGGAGTCACTAGGAGCTTTGCTTTGTACTTAATGGAAGTGCTATAAAAATGCCAAGATCTATAAAAACAGTTCCTAATCATACCAACTTGGCATTCAAAAAAAACAAAAAACAAAAAAACAAAACAACTGATGGCTACTTCTATCTTTACCCTTATGCCTCAGCTGTCTATCTGTGAAATGGTGATAAAAATGCTTTCATCTGGGAGTTGGGCTAGTAAATTCATTTGTACCCATTTGACACTAACTAAAACTGTGAGCACCACTGAAGAGATGAGTAGACAATAATCCCTTTTTTAAATGTGTAGTATGAATAGGTATGAGACCACAGATTGAAGAATGAGGATAAAAGAAAGGTCAGAATCCTGTTGCACATTATGCACCCAAATATCAGTTTCAAACCTGCTTAGCTGCCTGTTTTGGCACCTGGTTTGCAATCCTAGTCCACATACAGTATAAATACACAAAAAGGAGTGTCCACATGGCCATTGTGCTGCATAATAGGCTGTGCTTTGGCCAGGCAAGTACATGGTTTCATACAATGAACCTGGGAGAACACAGGTCCAAAAACAGTAACTGAGCAGGCAAAAATCCTTGACTGCTAGATTGTTCTAGTAACCATATTTTAAAATTTCAGAGATGGCTATATTTTAGTAGAAGTTGAAAGTATGCCTATGCAAGCAAAAAAAGATACAGCTGCTTGTACATGCAGTCAGCCACTCTGGGATAGGAGGTGTTGTAAGTAATTATTGCAACAGGCAAGAAACAATACATAGTAAGTATGGGAAGATCCTATGCTAATACTAACACTGTTCACTTCCTGTTACTCGGTATACCATCCAAAAATGCTTTGATGTCCACCTTAGCTACTCTACATGATCTCATTACTACCAGTCATAAGTTTTAGAGAATCTCTCTCTAACTTGGGTGTGTCTTGCTCAGGTATTTGCCAATACCTTTGTTGCTGCCACCACTTAGGTTTCTCAGATGTTAGGAACTCCCATGTCTGCAGATGTTGAATTTTAACCCCCAAACCAGCTATCATGACATTTATGTGAGGAAGCTTATGAATTCAGAGTCCATTTTGCTTTTCTAAAAATCAGAGAGTAATTCAGACAGATGTAAGGAAAAAGGAAAAGGGATGTGCTGGAAATTTACCATTGGTTCAACATGAAGTAAACTGAAGTGCAGCTGCTCTGAGAAAGAAAAAAATTGGGTGAAAGGATGAGAAACTCCTGATCAAGGGATACAAAACAGTTGTAGTTTTTAATGGAAAAAATCCACACACCAGAAAGATGGAGCTTGAAACTGATATGGCTATCACATGGGCAGAATGCTGTTTATTTGAAAGTTCATGACATGTCAATCTACAGCCTCTAAGGTTATTGTTAGCAATAGCCCCTGTAATATCTTATGGCTCTTCAGTTTAAATTCAGCGTACATACCTGAAGCCAGCACTCGGAGGGTTTTAGCCACACCTCCCCATGGGGCACCTAGCGACACATAATCCTTTATGTACTTGTCTTTCCATTCTTGAGTCTGGTGATTGAGGAAGTACAGTGCGTACATATTACCCATACTGTGGGCAATTAACACCACAGGACTTCCATACTGTTCATACATAGACTCTATCATCTTCCGAAGGGCAACAAAATAGTCTCCATTCTCATCTAGAAACATCAGACAGGCAGTTTATGTAGAATAGTCAAATGAAGTGGATTTACAAAGTGCTAGCTTTCCATATACTTTATTTATTTATTTTAATGCTAGAAGTGAAATAAGCAGGTTCATATAAAAAAGTAGGGGTGCACCAATAGAGATTTTGGGGACCAATACCAATAGTCAATACTTAAGGAGGCATATCAGCCGATACCAATCTGATATCTGATACAGCTGCCATCAGCTGGTAAATCTGTTGTGGTGGAAGGGGAGGGGGGGAAGAAAGGGGCATAGTGGGGCAGATCAACATGTTCTGCGGTGAGAGAGGGGGCAGGGGCAGGCGATGCCTAGCCAGGGCGGAGGGTGAGGACATGGAACGGAGGCACAGCTCATGGGGTGGGAGTGGCTCCCACCTCTGCTTGCACCCCGGGATGGTGGTGGTGGGAGGAGCTTTTCTTGCCAAGGGCTGGGCTCGATGCACGCTCTGACAGTGCTGGGAGGAGGCTGCAGCCACCCCAAGTTTCACTGCTGCTCTGCTCCCAATCCCACGCCACCACCTACTGCAGCCCCACTGAACACCCTGACTCTACCCAGGCACCACGAAAAGCCAGGGTTACAGTGGGCAGTGAGCAGTGGTGTGGGGCTGGGAGCAGGGCTGTGACAAAATTTGGGGTGGCTGAAGACTCCTTCCAGTGCTGCTGGAGCCCACTCCGAGCCCAGCCCCAGTGAGAAGAGTCCCATGCAGCACCAACTCCAGCTCCGCCCCACAGCTGCAGCCCACCCTGCACCGTGCAGATCTGGGGGCACCCCCCACCCTACCGGGGTGCAAGCACCAGCGGGAGCCACCCCTGCTCCACAAGCTGTGCCTAGGTCCTGAGACCACCCCCCACCCCGGCGGGGCAGCACCTTCCCCCTCCCTCACTGCAGAACATGTTGATCTGCCCCTCCCCCACCCCACTCCCCCTTCTGACTTACCTGCTGGAGGCAGTTCTCCACACTGCCAGCTTTGCTCCGGGCTGCTCTGTGCACAGCACAGGCATTTAATCAGCCAAATTAGGCTGATATAAACAATTTTCTTCATGTCGGTACCAATCTGATATCGGACCGATGTATGGGGCACACCTAAAAAAATGCCGTGTTATCAGACGCCAAGGTGTTTGCCTGTGAAGGACTTAAGCCTCTGTGGTTCGGTCACAAGCTCAGATGAAAGACACTAATAAATATGTACTACTACAATATATATTAAAGGGTAGGAGTTTCTCAAAAAAGCACCTGACTGATTAAACTGGAAAAAAAAAAAAACAAAAAAAAAACAAAAACCAATGGCAAGATTCCCATCAGCTTTAATTAAACTAATGCTGAATACTTTCAAAAGATCAGCATTGTTCTTCAAAAACCGAGCATGTTAGAAGCTTCAGGGAAACTTTAAAGTAGACCCTGAAGTCAGTCCGTTTTTTACTTTTTAAAGTAATTACCAGCTTATTTTGAAGTAATGCTGACATCTTTAACAAAGATTGTGCAATCCCTGCTGAAACAGTACCTTTTCTGTACAATTCATAGCATTTCATGAAGTAGATTGTTGCCTATGAAAGCTCATGCTTCTCTGAACCAGTCTCAGGTGTCATCCTGCCCTACTTCTGCTTTCCTGTTTGTAATATCATTAAAACATTCTTCAAGGAATGAAGTAAAACCCATGTGTGTAACCCTGTGGTAAACCCTTTCAGGTCAAGTGCAGTAGAAGTCAGTCACTTCATTACAAAAGTCAACCTAGATGATTTTCTTAAACAAGTACCAGTATATCAACAAAAATATATTTAGGTTTTAGATCTTTTAGCATTAGACTCTAGTGGGCAAGGCAAAGCCTGTTGTAATAGCAGCATATTTTTACAACTAAAGCTTTGCTTCAGCACACCTGCACATGTAGTATGAAGAGCAGGGGCAGGCAATTATTTTGGGTGGAGGGCCGCTTACCCAGTTTAGGCAAGCTGTCGAAGGCCACATGGGTAGCCCTACCCTTTGACAGGTGCCCTGCCCCCTAGTCACCATCTTGAGACCAATGTCCCAGGACCAGCATTGGTGGGGCCCAAAGCAGGATGCAGGCTGGCAGGGGTCTGTGGAGCCAGGCTGGACTGCACTAGCAGGGAGAGGGGGGAAGCTGGCCTGGCTCCACAGAGCCCCTGCTGGCCAGGACCCTGTACACCTGCCACCCTGCTCTGGGGCCCTGCTGGCACTGGCCCCAGAACACACTGGTGCAGGCCCTGTGCTCCTACTGGCTCCAGCCTGGGCCCCGCGCCAGCTCTGGGCTCACCCATTGGGGCTGTATGCAGTGCCAGCAGCTGTGGCCCCTCTGCTTACCACACTGGGCAGTGTTTAGCGTTTGCTGCTGCCGCCCACCTAGAGCTCACGCGCTGAGCAGCACAGGGGTGGTGGTGGCAAACACTGCCTGGTTCAGCAAGAGGTGGAGCTACAGCTGCTGCCTCCATGTGCAGCTCCAATGGCTGAGCCCAGAGCCAGCGCTAGGCCCAGGCTGGCAGCGGGGGCAGGTTACAAGCTGCTGCTGAGTGTAGGGGGCAAAAAAGTGGCCCCTCGCTGCAGCCACTCCCAGCCCATGTGGGGCTGCCTGTGCCTGCTCAGGACAGCTCTGCATGGGCTACAAGTGGCTGCAGCAGAAAGCACCAGCCATAGGGCAGGCAAGGGGCCACTTTTTCCCCAGGGTCCTCCCCTGCCCTTCCCTTTCCCCCTTACCTGAGTTTCTGGCACGGTGCATCCACATGGTCCCAGGCCAGAAGCCCCTCCTGGGGCTTCCGGCAGGGCCAAGCAGGCCCTGCTGTTGCAGGAGCCTGCCAGGGCTTCCCCTGGGTCCTACTGCCCCTGGCTCCTGCCATTTGACAGGAACAAAGGGCAGATAAATATTAATTCTCTCAATTTTTTTAGGGGCCCCATGGGCTGTATTTTGCCCACCCCTGATGAAGAGAATATCCTTTATCCATGCTACAGACAAGAGATGGAAAAAGTGAGACTACAGTGTAATTAAGATTACAAGGGTCTGAAATTCTTGCACAGATGAGAAATGTATAGGTTTGGACATTGCTCCTCAGCTCCGAATTAAGGACACTACATAAAAGAAGTCTATTTTTCAGGACCCAATCCAAAGCAATTCTATAGCACAAGTTTCACTTGGGGTGGCACTAGGGTTTTGAGGACTAGGCTTTAAGATTGCCCAAGTTAATTTCAGTGAAGTTTCAGACTTTCTATTGCTATTAATTTGGGGGCTTTGCTGGAGTTAGACGTGTGTGAAATTACACATGGAGATTTTCCTTGTACTGGGACCCTAAGAGCAGTTCTGATCAGGACTAAGATCTAACATGGAATCCCAAGGGGAAAAGGAGTCCTGAACAAGAAAAAAAAAACCTGCCAAGAACAAAAGATACTTTATTTAGATAGTGAAGTCTCACTCACTTGGTGCCTTCCGCCAGTCATAAGGAGCTCCTCTTACATCTTCATCTCTCTGGTAGCCCCAATCTACCAAACTCTGCACCAGTGTGTAAAAGTAAGTACCTGCAGACAAAAAAACACCACAGGAGAGAAAGAAGTACAGCGAAACGCTTACCAACAAAGCGGCCACCATACAGGTTTAAAATCAACAGTGGGCACATCTACAGGAGACGCTACTGCATTGGTTACTGCACTTACTTAGTACTTGTATAATCAAGTACTAAATAAATGCATAGTAACCAGAGTTACTGTGCAGTGGTGCTAGCAAACCCCTTTTATGTGATGCTACTTCACAGTAGCCTAATAATACCATGCGTATTAGCACTATTGGTGCTGTGATATGCTACTGTGCAGTATTATTTGGCTACTGTGCAGTCAACACCTCATACAGAAGCACCCAGTGAGGCTGAAATTTAACCCTATAGTAGGTTGCTCTGCCAACATGCATAGAGTTTTTAATTAACTGTAATAATCCTTTAAAAACACAATAAAGAGTCATCTGTATTAGGCAAAATGAAAAAGATTCATGTTAGGCACCCAGCAGAAATACAAGGAGACTTAATTCTTTGCTAAAAAGTTAACTAAATTAATTGTAAGAAATTTTACCACATTCTTCCTTTCCTCCCCCATGACCCAAATCTTCCTTCATTTTGTACATACTGCCCTCTTCCCTCAGATTTACCTGAATAGGGAAACATTTCTAATGACTGTATACACTAGAGTTTTAACTGGCCGTTAACCTAAGGCAAACTTGAGGTAACTGACAACAATTAAGGCTTTTCCTGCTCCAGTTCACCTGTTTGTGTGATTTGCCCTAGGGCAAAAAATTGTTGTGAAACTAGATTTGTTTCTGTCAGAGGATCAGGAACTTTAATGTACTTCAGCACTTTGCATTAACACAATGCCTTATAATAACAAAGAACAGACAGTATTTGCAGACTGGTATCACATGATAAAAGGCAACTGGCATTTTACTTCAACTGATTAGTGAAGTTATATCCTAAGCAAATATTGCAACAAAAGTAGCAACCTTGAGCTACATGGCCAACTAAAAAGCAATTAAAAAGCTTCAGATAAGCTTTGCTGCTTCAAGCCTCAAGAGTCATTTTATAGTCAAAATGGGATTAATATTAATTTAAAAATCAGTACATAAAGTCCATTTCCTTGCATAATACTAATTGCTAACTACTAAAAGTAATTAGAATACCTATTTAAATATCCTTTGCCAGATGGGGGCGGGGGGAGAAGAGAGAGAGAAAATGAATTAGTATATTACGTCCATTCAAAAGAAACAGCTCATTAAGAGAGGAAAACAAACCATCCAGCAAAAACAACCCTATAAATGATTTAGCAGCCAATTGTGTTTGATGGTGCAACCTGCAGCCCATAGTTGTCAATCACCCAGAGAGCTCCTCTCACCCAGTCAGTTTGTCTGAAAGTACACAATGAATTCTGGCCTAGAACTCTAAATACACCCCATTTAGGATCAAACATCTTACATGTGCAAATTATGTGCCATGAAGTACATACACTGGACTTTTCAAAATAGAAGGCGTTTTCTATGAGAGATTTTCTGTAACACTGCAAGGAAAAAAACCTCAATATTCTCTCCTTTTAACAAGGAAAAGGAACTAAAGCAGTAGCATCAATCTCCCCAATTTACTGAGTGGTTATTACAGAAGTCTAAGGGCTACCTAGCCCAGAGCTCAGCCAAAGCCAGGAGAAGGAATCTTCTTTATTTGTCAAGTCCTGGCTGTGAACTTTCTGCTCATCTCAGACCATCTCCTAGAGCAGGGGTTCTTAACCTTTTTGTTCCTGAGGACTGACCTGGCTCCCCAGCCCAGGACCGCTGCCGGGGGGAGGGAGGGGGTCTGAATAGGGGCAAGTGCCCCAGGCCCTGCGCTCTTGAGGGGCCCCACAGAGCCAGATGGAGCAGCTGTGGCGACTCTGCACTGCTGCCAGCTTCACGTCCAGCCGCTCAGCACCCCTTCCCCCCGCCCCAAATGCTCCACCAGCTTCCTTGCGTCCAGGGCAGGGCCCTGCACAGACCGATTTGCCCTAGGTCCTGCACAGGTTGTCCCTGCCCCAGCCTCACCCGCATGACCCTGGGTGCAGCAAGTGGGGCTCAGTAACAGGGAGCCCTGGGGCTCCACTCACCTGAACAGCAGCAGGTGTGAAGCCTCACCTGTCCACCTGCAGAACCACCTGGTTGAGAACCGTTGTCCTAGAGCAGTCTTTGGAATGACTATTCAAGCCTCAGAGAATGTTAATTCTGAGTAAAAATAAGCAGTGCCTACTCGCCTGATTTACGAAGTTGAACAGAAAGCACTTAAATTCAACATGCCACATACCAAATGCACGTGAAACATCTGACTGACTGCTGGTAAACTTGTGTCCTACAAAACAAAGCCACAACTAAGCATGAACTATCCCGCTTCAACCAGTTACTGTCACCTCTCTCAGATTTCAGTAAGGAATTTTAAACTGAAATCGCATTATAGAAACATGCTGTACATCTGTAACTGAACTACATACCAACATTTCTTTTACTAGGATCAAGGAACTCCAAGGCAAATGTCTGCCCAAACCCTGGAACTCTGACATCCACTCCATCTGGTGGCTCTGTGATCTTACTTGTCCGATTGTATATCAGCCTGGAAGGAAAGAAAGACAAATATAAAACATGCTGTCTTACTACATGGCAACTCTCAAATAGAATGGGGCTTTGTTTGTTGAGTGATTTTAAGAGCTATTACCTACAAGAAAATAACATAAGTCAGACACTTAGAAGGGCACTTTCATGCTAAAGTGCCTACATGCAGTGCAAACAGCTTCCTTATACTAGTGTACCCGATTTAGGAAAATAAATAAAGCCTATTTTCAGTCTGCAGAAATAGAATATATTGTCAAAGGGTAGACCTGAACCTTATGGAGAGAATGTGAGCTGCCTCACATAGTTCAAGCATGTGTCAACCTGTCACAAGTTCATAACAAGTTTCCCTCCAAGAACTTAGATACTACAGTATCAGAATACTGTTGCTAAAAAAGGGGAAAAGTCAGTATAGCTCTTCTACAAAGAAGTAGGGCTTAAGAATACCTTTTCAGCTGAAAGTATTTGGAATTGCTGTAACCAATAAAACAAAAGACATCTATGGAAACGTACACAGAGATATTAAGTATTTGGTAGGTACCATTCAAATCCATTTGAGACTCATGGAACCGTGAATGTCTTTTCACCAGATCAACAGCTCTGGAATGTAGACTTTTTACCCCACGGCATGAGCTCTAAAAAATGTTGATTGATACCTGAAAATTGTTAACCAAATATTTTTTTTCAAGTCCCAGATAAAGTGTGATAATTAAAAAAAAAAAAAAAAAGTGAAAAGGAAACAGCCAGTGAGGGAAAACAACTGCAAAACCAATCACTAAGGCAATGCAAACATATATTCCAATCGTATTTCTCTATTGGTCCACAAAGCAGGAAATACGGTTAGTACACGCTTGCTTCTCTCTTGGGTTGCTTTACTTAATAGGACATTTGGCTGGTCTTTCAGCAGAAGAGTAACAAAAAAAAGGTACAGATAAGCCACTTAAGATTATACTTACACTACACATACCAAAGCTGGGAAACCCATTTATAAATACAGATTGCGTTTTTTAACACTGTAAAAAATATGGTTTGTATGGTTCTATGGTTGTCTTATGAGAATCAATATGAAAAAGCCTTTGCCTAAGAAAGCTACCAACTACAAAAGGTTTATGCCACCAAATAAATAAATAAATAAAATGTATTAACCAAACAAACCGCCATCTTTTATGATACATCATTCAGTCTGATTTCCAACTTGTAGAAAACATTTTCCAGTTGCAGCTGAGTGATTTCATGAACTGCATTTGCGATCCTTACCCTATGCATAGCTTATAGGGCTGTGCAAAATTTTGCCAGCTGTTTTGATTCACCACTGTTTTAACTCATTTCAAGCTGGAAACAGAGAAATCAAATCAAAATGAAGTGCTTCAAAACAGCCTCAAAACAAAATGAGGCCAGTCAAAATATTTTGAAGCAGCCAGGTGGTGGAAGACGGGGAAGAACCAGGGCTGTACTCCCAGCAGCTCTGCAGCCCCATGTGGCTCAGCTGAGCGGGGATCAGCTTAGCTGGACTGCAGGAAGCCAAGTTGCGGCACAGGGGAAGGGAACTTAGCTGAGCCACATGGGGCTGAGGAAGGCAATTCGGCCCAGCTGGGCTGAGTTGCCTTCCCCAGTGCTAAAATCAGGCTGGGGAAGGGAACCAAGTGATCAGGTTCAGTTCCCTTCCCTAGCTCCCTGGTCCCAGGTGGCAGCACCCAGCTTACCTCCCTCACCCAGCCGGCAGATTGGGGGCCTGCAACACCAGGAGGACTGGCACAGCCCCCACAGGGTTGCAGACTCCCAGTCTGCCTGACAGATGAGAGAGGTTGTTTCGAGTTTCCCTATTATAGCATATGGGTGAAACGCTGAAACAGTGTCACTGTTTTGACAAAATGGAACAATGGTTTCAAATCGAAATGAAACACTGTTTCGTCAAACCATTTTGACTTGAGTTTCAAGGTTAAGCCTTAATAGCTTACACTATGCTTAAAAAAATGATGAATTACTTTCAATTGCTGTTTAGAGTTTGCTTCTATTCATGTGTATATCCAAAGTTATTAAACTTTAAAGTTGCACAAGGACATTATAAAAAAAAAAAAAGACAGAAACTGTACACACTTTTTTTTTTTTAAACAGATCTACAGGTCTGAAAATAAGAGTCTGTATTTTATATGTGATACGTGATGGCTTTTTAAAACGTTAAGGTAAGGTAAGATCAAAGTTAATATTTTAACCAGATTTGAAAAGAATCAAGAAGTTCCATGTACTATTTTTTGCGCTTTCAAAAAAATTTGCTAATATTTTCATACAAGCACAGGACCCATGACTTGAAGCAACAAACCACCTGTAAACCTTTCAAAAGTTTACAGACAATAAAAAATGTTGAAGAAAAAAAGCATAATGAGGAATTAACAGATTTTTAAATCATTTTACACTTCAAAGACAACAGACCCCTCCCCCATTTCTTGTAACAGTATTAGCATGGTTATGACTCAGCAGTTTCAGTAACCAACATCACAGAGTGATGTGTGCATGTATAACTGTCTTTTAATTTTGAGGTCAAATGATTTAAGTACCAAGTTACAGCTGGGTTTATTAAGCATAGGTGTTAGCACAAATCCAGATTGGGACCCAGGGTAAGCTTATATTTTAGCTTCTTTAAAAATGGAAGTAGAACAGTTGCAGCTCAGAAGCATACATTAGGTGTTACACTGAGGAACTTATGACTACATGATTCTGTAGGGATAGACATGTATCAAAACCACCCCAATTTTGACCCTGAATGAAGTAAAGTTCAAGTCAGGGTGATTCAGCTAACTTGTATCACATTACAGGATCCTGAAGTCTTAACAGCTTTTACCAGTGTAATTTGCTAGAGCCACAAGTGTTACTCCTGTCTATACCTTCCACCACACTTAGAGACATAAGACACCTTGTACTCTTTAAATGTTAGATGATCAGCTATTCACACTGGGCTTTTTGTAATAGTGCAATTATTTCAGCCCTGAAACCCCTTGGGAATAGACACCCACCACCCCACCCCACCCCCGATGCCTACCGTGATTTTCAAGATGCCCATGTTTTAAAAACTTGAGCAGTTAATAGGACAGAATGTTCAACACATCTACTCCAGCCCCCTTCAGATTTTTTTAAATCCAGGCACCAAGATAAAAAAAAAAAAACACACACAGGAAGTTAACAGTTCTCTCTCTAAGCAGTACTTTCCCTGCTTCCAAAAGCAAAGACCAAGATTACTAACCTGAAGAAAAACAGCAGCCAGGTTCTCATCTATACCCCAAGCCGAGCCAGCTGGGTGCATTTAAGCCAGGCGTGGGCAATTATTTCAGCTGGAGGGCCACTTACATTTCACACATCTTTCAGAAGATATCATTTTAAACAAATCATATAGTAAACTGTCTGATTTTTAGTATAACATTTAAAATTTTTTAAATGTGTTAATTGTATTTCAAAAAAATCATCATGATTTTTTTTTCCTGTTTCTACAGTTTAGCTATACACTGACCTAATATTTTGTTTTACAGGGCTCTGATCCTACCTGATATTGTCAATCCAGCAGTCAATGATGACAGGCAGCAGCAATTCTAAATTCAGCCAGAGAGTAAAGTAACTTTCTGTCTTCTTGGAGCAGAGGTAGTGTACCACTGTCGGTTTGTCAAGTTTTGCTTCCAACTGGTTACCCAAATCCCCTGGGACTACAAGAAACACGTGAAAAAATCAGAAATATATTAGTCAGACAATTAAAAACCCTGTTCACACTTTCACCTTTGTATTCTGTAAGAATGTAATTATGTTTCCACACCAACCAAGATACTTGATAATGATAAGTAAATGGAAGAAGGGCATTACGCAAGCTTAGAGTACTGGTCACAAGTGATCATTTGCTTTTTCAGAAACTCCCAGCTTCAAAAATGTTCCCCATAGGTATTTATGAATCATCTTGACAACCAAATTGGGACAGGATATCTTAGGCCATGGCTATCAGAAGCAGATTCTCTCAAATACTTTTCAAGAGAATGAGTGTCCCAAAAAGAGTCATCTGCAAGGTTTGGGTTGGAAAAAAAGCTTTTTTCCTACAGAGTGTTGCAACTCTAATCAAATACACAAATCCTTCAGTTTTTACCAATATCTGCAGACTTACTTTATTTCAGGAGTTCTATTTTTATTCTTTTATATACTGGTTAAACAGGTTGTATTTCAATGATCTTTGCACTTTCCTTTACATCCAGATTTTGGAACTGTTTAACACTGATGTCATGACTAACAGGATCTATAGCAACTCAATATGCATCTGTGCTGTCTGTTAAACTATTTCACTGGAATACCATTTCTTATTCATTCATTCTACAGATTAAGTGACAGAAACACTGAATTCCAAATTAAAGTCAAGCATGCATCGAAAACTTCTAGTACAGCAGCAAATAGCAAATGGAATTCCTCAAGTTCTGCTACATTTTAGCCACTTCTTACAAAGAAAGATGACAGAAAACTGGAAGGTCCTATGACTGGAAAATTCCTCCATGCTATGACAAAAATTAAGTTAGCTTATAACGTGTTCTTAGACTGAACTCATTTTGATATTATTATACTCAATAGTGGGAGTGCCTGGTTAAATACAACTAAGTGCCAGAAATTAGACCAGTGCTTCCTCATTTGGGGTTGCAACCCAGTTTGGGAACCGCTGAATTAGATCCTGTAGCACCTTACAGTAAAACCTGCTATAAACTATTAGACTGCAAAAATGTATTTCCATTTCATCTCCTAATGCCATTTTCTAACACTATATAGGCCAGATTAGGTCTCAGCTTCAGCTAAGGCCACGAACAGGCAATACTTTTGTCGTATTATAGAAGCCGAGGGTACAATAAACATACCCCCCCTGCAGTGCTACAAAACTGGTGAAAGCACTACGATAATGTAGGGTTTCTCTGCAGCGTAACCTTTTGTAGCCAATTTTGTAACCGGCTTGTAGATTATACAGAACTGCACAGATGTATAAATAAGAGTATAAACTCAAAAAAAAAGAATCTCAACCTTGAAGAACTTACAATACAATTTGGAAGTTTACTACTATATGTAGCATATAATTTCAAACAATTATACAATGGAAGAAGTACTGACAGGAAACAGTTGTCTTTTAGTCAGGCTAGACAGAAATAGCTGTCACTGAGTTAAGTGGATGCGCCTTAATGGTATGGGACAAGAAGCAATGTGATGGTAATGCAATCTACCCACGTTCTCCGCTCAGCCAGACCTGCCCCTCCCTCCCCCAACTCAGGGAATAGGACTGACTGAGCATGAAAGCAGGGCTTGCTTGCCTATGGAGAGGCACCCCAAGATTCCCCAGGTGCCCCTCTAAGCACAGAAAGCAGGCAGCTGCTTCAGGGGCTTGAGGGGCCTTTAAGCTCCCAGAGCACCTGCCAGTGGCTAGAGTATGCAGGTATCTCAGGCTGTCAGTACTCTCCTGCTAGAGGTAACAAGTGTCTGCCACAATAAAAAAGCAGCATCTAGAGCTACTTTGTCACATGTCACGGAGTGGGGCCTAGGAGCGGCCGTGATCCCGCTAGCACCCCCTACCATACCAAGTGAGCGATCCAGCACCCTCGATTCTCACCCGCCACGTCTTGTTGGTATAATAGTTTGGTATGGGAGGCTGCCTTAAGATCCCCTTGGTCACAGTGTTCTGCTCATACTGCCCCCCGTACCAGATGGGGTGACTTGGTGCAACCCCGGCCTTATGGGCTATGCGTGCCTCCTACCTCCCCTTTAGCACGCCCCAAGCCTCGCAGCTGTTCCAGACATTGTCTGGTCACTTGTGCCTTGCCTGGCACCCTGGGCTTGTCACGCAACCCGCGCCCTTCCTCGGGTGCCCCGGGCTTGTCACGCGACCGACGCCCCTTGCTCTAGCGCCCTTGTGTTCGCTAGCCCTCGCCCCTCTCTGGGGCCTACTCGTGTGCTCACCCTTCTTCGGGCTCTATCGCGCGCGCTGGCCCGCCTCGGGCCTCCACCCGTGCCCTCGCCCTTCTCTGGGGCTTGTCCCACGCTTCTTGCGCCCTCGCTGTACAAGTCCAGTCTTGCCCCTTCCGGGGTTCGGCTAGTGTACTCGCCCTCTTCAGGCTCTCACCCACACGCTCCGGCCCTGCCTCGGACCTCTAACCGCGTGCCTGCCCTACTCCGGCCTCGTACACTCACCCACACTCAGGCCTATACACGCGCTCTCTGCACTATTGCCCTCTCTGGGTTCTGTACCCCACTCAAACGCGCTCGGGGCTCAGGTGGCCTGTAGCCATGCCTGGCCCCCTGACCCTTCTCGGGGTCTTTCGCCCGACTAGGCAGAACACCGCCCTTGGGCTGGGGTCTCAACCCCACATACTGCACCCCACCGGCACCAAACAGCCGTGCCTCCCCGGCACTACTCTGTGCCCAAACAGGGCACCCAGGAACCCCCAGACTACTGGGGATCTCCTGCAAGGCCTCCTCACACCTCTACAGCCTCACCCGGTCCTCCAGTTATACACACAACGAACTCAACAGAACCATAAGCCATCTGGCTATAACACAAAACACAAAGCCCCTTGGCTACAACTTAGGTTCCCCGCCAACCTGGCTAACCTCCGTATCCCTGCCGGGTTTCTCTCCACCCCGCGTCCGCATGCTTAATGCACCACACAGCCCTGCCTGCTCTTGCAGAGCTGCTTCTCCTTAGGCTGCCAGAAGGGAACTGCCAGCTAGGCTGCGGCCTGGCCTGCTTATAAAGGCAAGGCCTTGCCCCTTTCTGGCCATGTGACCTGCTCTGGTTGCCCCAGCAACCAGCACCTGAGCTGCCCTGGCCATTAGCAGATGCCCTAATTCCTACTTAGGCACAGGGCACTCGAGTGCCCCCGTGACATCACACCACTGATCTTCTTTGATGTAGTGCAACAAAGGGTGGTAATGTCTACTGGTGGCACAAATGGGACGTCAGGTGACATCTATTTCCACCCTCATATGTTTGTCATATCACATTTGATAGGTCTGTCCACACTTCAATAACAAAACAGTAACATGCTAAGTAAGTATGTTTTTCCTTTTAAAGCATGCCATGAAGACTTAGGACTTTGCTATTCAAAGCACCCTTTTATCCAAGGAGAAGAGGTCAGTATTTATGTGATCGCTTTAGTACCCCAACTTATGGAATTTTTATATATCACACCTCCAACATCTTTCCACATAAACCCCCCAGGCCTCCAATATAATACCCAGAACAAGTCATGTTTAATCTCTCCCACTTTACAGCATGGTTTCAGATACCTTCTCCCCCCACCCTCACTACAGTCTCACAGGGTACTCTATGCAGTCAAGTGAGGACAACTTGAAAGTCTGTCTTACATAAACAAAAGCAGTCACACAAAGCCTTACTGCAACAGACTGGCATAACTGGCCTGGGGGTTCCTTAAATCTGTCTTGGAATGAATGTTTCTATGAAGAGCAGGAAAACAAGTTATAGAAGGATAAACAGCTGGTAGGAAACAGGCAGAGCCAAACTTCAGTTACATGCAAGTGAAAATGTGTCTTTTGGCACTGTGCTTATGGGCTAAGTAGTCACATATAGATATTTCTTGTCTCCTGCTCTTCTGGATGGGAAGTTCCAAGGAGAGAGGCTGTGAAATGGGAAAAGTATCCATGGTATTGCACTTTCCAATTGAATTGTTGGGTGTGTTAATTTATAGCCAAATTATCACATGAACTCGCTAGAATACTCTTTCAATGTAAGCACTATGCTTATAAAATGCTGCCCAAGTCCAGGAAAGAAAACAAGTGAGCCGAATAAAGTGCTCAGATTTGCCCAGTAGTGGGCAAACAACAAGTTAAATAATTTTTTTGTTTAAACATTTTATTCTATACTGATTTATCAACAGCAGAACATTCCCAGCAACCAGATGCTAAACTGTAGAAACAGAAAAATATTTCTGAAATTGAAATTTAAGACATTCCCTTCCCACAACTGTTTTCTGTGAAAATCTTAAGGCACATGCCTGGCTTAAAACCAAACTCTTGGGAGATCTCTGAAAGTTATTTTAGCAGTAAAGGACTTCAACAGATGACCCAAGAGTCTAAAGGAGTATGTTCTTTCAACGTATTCTTTAAAGGGAAAAGAATTAAAACAAGTCTGCTTCAGAGTCCATATATTTTAAATTTTTATTCCAAGGGCCTTCTCTTCACCCTAGTGCAGCCACACAGCTGGGAGCTGCACCAGCACTACCACAGTATCTTCCAGCCCCCCCAGCTCCCTGGCTGTGGTACAGATCACAGCTTCCAGTCAGAGGGGAGCCGTGCTGGGGCCAGGGAGCAGGAAGCTTCTTACACACAGCCCCTACTTCTGCCCACCTCCATCCCTCCTCTATCCAGCCCCTGGAAACTGCGCTCACATCACACACAGCCTTAGGAGGTGGGGGTTGGGGAGTGGAGAGGAGGAACAGTACCAGCACCATTAGATCTCTGGTACTTTTATTTCTGTATTTTAAGTGAACTTGTTTAAGTACACTAGGGCTAAGAACAGAAATCACACATAAACCAGTGTAAGTGATTGGAAACCAGTTCAAATCTGTAATACAACATAAGTTCAGTGCACATAAACCACTTTCAAAATGGCTGGAACCATTTTAAGATAACCTGGATGTAGCATCAGACTCAACTGATTTAGGTTAAACTGGTT